GCGCAAGGCTGTGTTGCAAGGCATCGGTGTAATCTCCTCGCAAAGGGCTTATACCTTCCGATCGCCGTCTGAGGCCCACTGGGCCCAGCGTGTGGCAGGTGTGCGACGCCTAACTGAACGATCCAAGGAATGGCGCGAGACTGGAGACGACGCGTTGACTGAAGAGTAAATGTGATGACTCTTCCAGCTGTTTTATTTCTTTCATCTCGGATGCGGTCCAAGTCCCTCCTTCGTTTCTTCCGATTTCATCGCTTTTTCATCTTCTCGATTATGATACCACTCTGTTCACCACGACTGTGCGACATGATACCACGGTTTGATTTTTGTTTATTTCCTTGTACATCTAGTGGGGCCTTATGTATATAGCAGGTCCCGGTATTAATTAATAGGCTGTTGGTATATGGGTTGGATTTGAATGATTTACGGCTCTTGGGATATGGGTGGCATTCATGATATTTTTGTACTAGTCTACTCTGAATTCAATAATCGGGCGATGCATCTGAGTTTAATGATTCTTCCTATGCTGTAGGCAGCCAGCAGCCACACATCATCACTATAAGCCTCATGCTCACCAGTCAGCTAGCCCACGTCATAGAGATCACTGCAGTGGATTTACCCGGAGCAGCGTATTAGACTATTAGTACTCTGCACGTCCACACTAGACCCAATTGATTCCTGCCCGTATATAATTACTCCATACTTTGATACACTAATCTATCTATACTGCCACCATGATTAATCCAAGTCCTGACACTTCCTCAATAATCGCCGCCTCAGATTCAGATACACACCCATAAGGATGCCTTCTTCATCAGCACACACGCATACACCCACCCATCTAAAGTCATGTCAGACAACACATCAGTACCAGAAAGCTCTTCCTTACTACCTTGATCAAGGACTTTTAATACTACTCTGTCCGTAGTGTGATGTACCTGTATCCAGTTGATTGCCCTCGGTGGGTCATGCTCCTATGAGGCTAATGCGTGCGCAGAATAGTGGACGGGGTAATTCGTGCTCTGGAGAGTGATGACTTGGTGTTGGATTAGATTGGTGAAGACCAAAAAGGTTGTGGTTAATAGGGTAGGTGGGATTGGGAAGGGTTAATAGATGGAGTGTAAGTAGTAGAGTAGGGTGTTGGGTGGAGTTAGAGTTGGGGAGGGGAGGGGGTTGGGTATTTGTTAGTAGATTGAGGGGCTTGAAGGGGTTGATGAGGTGTTTTGGGCGTTGGAGGTGGTGGGTATAATGTTTGATGAAGGAGAAGAAAGAAGAAGGTTGTGAGGTCTGTTGGAGGATGGAAAATGGGATGACTGAGGGATAAAGTGGGTTATGATATGATATTAGAGTATGGCTGAAAGATACGTGACCATGGAGTCTATAATGGCCATGGCCGGTTGCTTGAAGGTACGATATGGTTTAGGATAGGTGGGCGAGTGGGAGAAGTGTAGGGGAGGGAGTAATATAAGGTGGTATGTGCATGTGAGATGGTCGTGTTGGAAGATTAGGGGCAATAGGAGATAGAAGCTGCTGACGGCGGGGCAAGTCACTTAAAAATCCTCCTGATAATTGACTTGATGATGAAGATCTTGGTCAGCAAAAGATTGGGTGGGATTTATGGGCTAAGCTGAACCCGTGAATGTGACTTGATAGGGTACTGCTACGCTGGACAAATGAAACAGCAGCTGCAACCAATCCAGAGTCGATCCGTTCCTTACGATGTGTAGGAAGGAAAAGGAAAAGTTGATCTGGGAATAGCTTGAGAAGGACTATCTGGGTGTGGATTACCGGTTGTGCAAGGTGTACACATGACACCGGCCGAGGATAAGTCTCTGTTCATGCCTGAGACAAGGGGTAAGTTGGGAGGAGTAGGAAGCTATAAGAGAGGTACACGACCCATACTAACCACCGATAATGCATGCCTATGTAGTATGGACAAGACGTGATATATGCAGGAGCATGTAGACAAGGCAACCCTTCCAGGCCATACCGAAGAATGATGCATCTTAGTAGATAAAGTCATCGGACATACTATAGTTCCCGAGATGGAACCCCGACACACGAAAGTATAAGGAATGGGGGGTATACATGGCGGACATGTGTTTGTGTGATGTCCTATGAAACCACATCTGCATTGCGTGGACCTGACTGAAAGCTTACTGACCAAGGTAGAGGCTGATGTGGTGATGAAGGTGGGTGTACCCCTCACTAGCCCTATGAGGGGTACAGGACAACAGCAATGAGCTGGATGTCCTTCACACCGAAGATCGTCCTCATGGGAATGATGATGCTATGAAGTGAGGACTGCTAAATATAGCAGATGATTTGAAGAACAAGTCATTTACCGACATCCATGATGAAAGCGCTAAACAGAGCAGAAAAGGAGCTCGCCCTATGCAATTCTAGGGGGAGATGATCCAATTTTAGAAATGGATGTGATAAATTGTGTGATTAAGCATGGAGTAAGAAGTTAGATAGCTGGGTAGAAGAAGAATGCATCCGACTGGATCGATGGAGGGACAATCCCTGTGTGTACGGTACAGTATCGTACGAACACACTAAGAATGACATACAAAGTAGTCATTCATGCAGCTGAACAGAAGGATAGAAAGGAGATGAGGGGAACAGGAGGTTGATGCAAGCGCTCAATCGATAGTATGATCTATAATTAACAACCTCGAGGCGGGGGATATCCCTCAACAGGAGTAGATCGCGCTCATAGTGGGGACAAGGAATAATGAGGGTGTGTGATGGGAAGAGAGATACGCACTTAGGTTGATGACATGCAAGTATGATTCCGAACTTTGCGGGATGAGAAGGACGCTTGTTTGACTAGTGAAGAGCAACCTGATATGATTCGGTCAGCACATTGGAAGCACATTTCAATAAGCGCGGAAGGGACCACATGGGGAGATAAGAATAGAACAAGCTATAATGATGGTAGTTTTCTGGTAGTGAAAAACCTGAGCTATGCACTAAGGTATTCGTGCGACGAAGTGAGGGACTAGTCGACCATAGATCGGCTGGGTATTCAGGTTTGCAGAGGGTGGCGGGGGTTGATGAGGGATGGGGATTTGCTAGCAGGTTAATACGAGCGAGGTTCGGATCAGCGCGACGCTTGAATTCTGCCATTGGATTGGCTGACCCAAATTTGCTTTGCAGTTGCGGAGGTATGGGGTTTGATAGTCATTCGAGACTAAGCATATGTGGTTGCAATGGACTGTTGATAATGGGTTAAGAAGGCGATCTTGGTTCATTTTCAGATCAATCCAAGGTTAATATGAGATGAAACAGAACGAAAGACATCTTATAAGCAACCTGAATACTTTCCTACAGCACTCCCAATGCTATTAAGATCCAGTAAATACTGGAGGTGTAGCCGTGTGGTTGAGATAGCGTGTAGTAGGAATCCAAAAATAACCTGAGCAGGGATTATATTCTTAGAACAGCGGTAGATCTAATCTTAGTACCCGCTCGGGGTGCCAGTTGCCAAGAATATCTTGCCAGGCGCTTAGCACTTCGCATGATTGGAGGCACCATCTTCCTGAACATGCACGAGAAGAATTTGAGCAGCCCATACGTTGACTCGGTTCCAGGAGAACAGCCATTCGAAGCATAATTGGTGTAGGGATCCAACCTTGTCATTGCGCTTTATATAGTATCACAGCAGATGGTGTGTGTTGCTGTTTTTAGATACCTGCCCCCCTCCATATTCCAATCATGTTGTAAAGATGACACTGAATGGTCCACCCAGGCGCCGATTGCTTGATTGTGGATATGATATCACAGATATAGTTCTATGTTATTTTGTGGTGCATCCTTTGGATGGCAATGTGATGGTGAACCAGCAGGTTTGCTAGAAGAGCGGGGTAAATGGTGATGAACAGTTATGTTGCTCATCACCGGGGCTAGCCTTCTTCCCTGGAGATGTCACCATAACAATCGTTTAGTATTTTGCGAGAGAGACACTTGTCCATGCCTTCAAGTTAATTGAATGCACTAACAACTGTTTCGTTGTCTAGGCGCGCCAGGTAGAATGAGCCACTGAGTAAATAGGCGCTTAGCACACTACCCGGCATAGTCTCCTATGGGCGTTAGGACGTAGCACAGCTCGGCCAAAACACTGCCTCGACGATATTTACTGGCCCAAAGCAGAGAAGATACTTGAAGATAATGCATGCATATTCCCGCTTCTGTGTTTTGGGAAAGCGCAGCGGCAATCGACATCGTTCCCATTGGCAACAACCGGCATGGCTTATCATAAACGCTTAGGGCCAGGGTCCAGTCACCTCCGCAGAACGCCATATCCTCGACGTCGCCATGTAAGGGGCCATCTTTGAAACCGACATGGCGATTAGAAGTTTCGTTTAATGCTTTACGATTGGATGGCAACATGCTGAAAGCGTTTCTGCCGCAATTCACCCTAGATTATCTTCTGCAGACTATACCACACACGTCGTTAGTACTGCAGGAGCATGTTTCGAACCACCCATGTTTTACCTTCACCGTGGCAATGACCGGGTCAACACTGGCTGTAGAACCGCGCGCGTTGCTTCAACAAACCACAGACGAGATAATGCAGAGGAATTGAGGAGAATATCCGTCAAGATGCTGAAGGAAAGGGGTCGTCGACATGAAACTTGCTTCAGATGGCGCGCGACAATGCTAGATGCGCATACTCCGGTGTTTACAGACAGGAAGAAGTGTCTTCGAGATAGATATAAAAGAGGGTAATGTTCCTGCTCAATATTGACTTTCTACCATCATCATCAAGAATCTTAATTGATCTCTTACTTTGTGCGCTTCTTTACTGCAAACTATCGGGGTCATCAGCGGGCCTGTGGACCTTCACTAGCTCAACGGGATCCTTCACGTTTAATCAACTTTGCCACGTTGAACTTCATACAAGGCTGGAACCCTGTCTCCAGGCTGTGCAATAATCCCTACCGCACGCTGTTCTTATTTTGCTGTCAGATACATAGTAGGTGGATCGATTGCAGGTTGCTATTTTGGACAGCTGAACGTGCTAACCAGGCCAGGTTAGGTAATACTCGGCCCTGGCGGTCATACATACGCATAACTCTGTATTAATACCGTTTGTTACGGAATTTCGGTATGTTTACGCCTGACATCTGACGGGATGTATATGGTTCTGACGCCTATCCACAGATCCTGCCATTGCCAGAAGGCCACAAGAGATAGTCCTTCGCTCGTCGGTCTTGCCTAGATAAAGGGCTCGATCTCTCCCTGTGTCCAACTTTCATCTCTCGACACCATCTTCAATCAACTGCCACAACAGTCCACTCAATACCTCAACTCATCTCTTCAATCTTCTACACATCTTTACTGCTCCCCTTCTCCTTGAACACATCCATTCTCATCTTCCCTACACCAGTATGGCTCCAACAAGGCCAACCCTCCATCCATTGACGACAACGGCTCCCAAGCACTTGACCTTCCCCTCTGAGCTTCGTGAGCGGACGTTCACAACATATCTCGACCTGGACAGACCTGCCAACGATGACAAGAAAGATGAGGACAATGAGGCTACCATCACTCCTCCTTCTGCCTACACAGAGTTTCTCAACACTTTCAGTCCCATCTTTTCCAGTCCCACGACGTCGCGGGCAAACTTCTACAAGTACATGGCCGATAAGCCTCGCTCGCCTCCTACTTCTGCGCCTTCCAGCACCACGTCTACCACCTTTCCCAGCAGCCGTCCTTCAAGAAGTGCTAGCAACTCATTGCACCAAGCTCCCAATGCTCTATATACCTCGAAAGGCCCTGTCCAGCGCATGCGCCTGCCCCCACCATACGTCTACACTCCATCGTCTGAGTCTCCTCGGAGCGGACATCCTCTTCATTCGCCTTTTTCTCCCTCGGATTGGCGGACTCGTACCTTTGAGTCGCCTGTCAGCGAGGCAGGAAACTCCTTCACTGTCCGACAAGTCGTTACTACTACAATCAAGTATAAGCGGGCTCCTCAGCTGGACCCTCCGCCGCAGGGCAAGCGGAGAAGAAACCTTGACCGTCGCAACACTTAAGACGGTTGGACGATTTTCTATGATGTTGTTTCACTACTGTTACTACTGGACAGGATCCAGGAGCACCCAAAACCACTGTATCTCATAGTTTACGGATGCATTATACATGGCTGGTGATGCGTTATGCTCTGTATGGTTTCTGGTTGCGGTCTCACGGGTTATCATTGGGTTGGTTCATTCGTTGTTATTGCCTCGGGTATGCATGCTGAGTCTGGCACTACTACTGGAAAGGCGTTACTGTTCGTTATGATTGGTGATCCTGGCATTCGTTATATTTTTGGTTCCGCTTACTATGATATGATGCATTCGTTTTTTGGTCTATTACTCATCTGCTTATCCATCGTTCAAGTATCATAACTACCATAACATCTGCAATGACTTCTCGAAATAAATTACGATCTCTACTAAAACCCCCCGCTATGACCACCAACCAGTAAACTAGATAATGGCCTAGCTAGACCAATGAAGCCAATCACCAGCCCCCGAACTCTACAGAAGGAATAATCCACCTACGAACCACACCAAAGTAAGTAGCCCAAACAATGAAAGATAACCCTTTTCTCCGAATCCTCCAGGATCGCATCCTCCCACCGTGCTCCAGCCACCTCACCAACCCACCACCCAATCAAAACTCCATAGAGAACAATCGCATCCAAGCCCAACGCAATCCTACGAAATCACGTATGCATTACATAATGCTAGATTGCATTCCTTCCAATGCGCGAGCGAGCCGCGTGGGAAACACTCCTTGGTCAGCTATTCCTCCTCCGTGCTTGCACGACTAGTTGAGGCTGTGCCGTCCGCGCGGCTACGTCCTGTTTCTTGGATGCTGATAGGGTAGTTGGGAAGGTCTACGCGCTTGATGGGTATGGCTGTATACCTATACTGGATCATTTATCTATTTATTCATTATTTTTGATTATATTTTTTTTACTCTCCTATTTCTGGGATTAGATGAGATATTCTTCCCTTTGGCTTAGATGATAATTAAGTTTTTAGGCCATACTTACGAGGTTATTGCCTGGTTTTAGTTTTGTGTCCTCAGACGGGAAAGGATTATGCCGATTGACATGGTTCTTACTGGATTAACTTTGGTTTGATCTTAGTTGTTGGGTCGTGGGAAGAGAGAGTGGAAAGCTTGTTTGTGTTGTTACTGTTACTATCCACGTATATTGGTTAGTATTGGGTGGTATTGTGTAGGATGGTGATGATGGGATAGAACGGCAGGAATGAGTTGCTTGGGTGATGGCTGTCTCGTAAATAGGCTGCGTGGGAGCTCGTTTCACCGGTTGGACTGCGCTGATGCACAGTTCAGCGCGTAGGCGCTGGTGGGAATGGTTTTCTTGTAAGAAAGTTAGGTAGTTATTTTGGGTGGCAGTGTATTTAGCTCATTGATTAGAGGACGTGTTTAAGCATATGCGGCCTTCGAAGGATGATACTGACTCGTGGTCATTGTGTAATACCAAGCTAGATACTACAACGAGTGGTTGGTTCCGGACTAGGTGTCTTGCAGCCTTCTTGTTTGTCCTTGATGACCTATCAGACGAAGTTTTAGGGATGTTTGTGGTCCATGATCTGCTTTATTCGCTCCTTAATGTCGATGTATGGCCGTGAAGCGCTCATAGCTCGTGGCCCACGTGGAGCGCAATATGTTGAGTGAAATCTTTCACTGAAAGCTAGCATCAGCAGTCCACTGGTACATCGCGGCCTTAACTTCGAGGATTCTCCTAGTCGCTTTTAGCGGTAATAATGAATTAAACAGTACCTTAGTGGTTTGCGTCAGTACAGGACATGTCTGTCGGTGAGCTTCGAGTAGTTCTGCCAACATAGGATTGATTCTATGCCAAGTATACGATAATCCTCCACGGCAGATTGCTGAGAGTTGAAGCCACATCGTCTAGGAAGGAGTGAAACCTCAGTCACGCGGCTTAGATATAAGGTTAGATTATTGGAGAGTTGGAGGTCCATGATGATCTCATCGTTGGTAGTCCTATTCTCTGTTAAGAAAGGCTAGTATCTATTATCAAATGTTGTACTTTTTTTTGCCAACGCCACATGGTTATAGATTACTAGTGCTTGTCAGACTTGCGAGAAAAGGTGCAAATGGGACGTGCGCTTGGATAGCTGGGTTGCCGTGGGGAGTTCTTGGACCTAACCTTCGCTTGGGTTCCCCCAAAACACATTCCTGGCATTGTTGTAAAAAGCGTATCTCCCTTACTTGGTCCTTAATGTATCATGAAAGGCTGCCGCTGCAGTGGATCTATCGTACGCTCGGTTCGCGTATGATGGATTCGTCCTTCACAAAGGTAACGTCGTGAGACGGTCCAAATTCATCTACCTATGATGGTAGTATACATTCATCCCTACCTGCTTCATAACGACGTCGTCTTTCGAGTCCGAGTATGAAAACCCGATCCCCTTAGTATCTTTGATGCACAATGATCCAATCAAAAGCGCGAACAATAGCGGCATGTTGATAAGGGACAAAGATTGGGCTCGTTCCCTTGCATGGGTTGGCTTCGTTTCGAACTTTTCGCCATTCTCATCCATGGATGAATTAGATAGACTGGACGGGTTTATATATGAATTCTGGAATGTCTTTTCGTGTCCACCGTCCTTGCACTAGGTAACATTTGGGGCCCATGGATTGTGAATGGAATTGGAGTTATGCCTGTGAGCTTTTTTGGAGTTCGTCGATTTAGTGACTTGGAGGCAGTGGATGTGCCTCCTACTACTGGTCATAGGTACGTTAGTGGTCGGTAGACATCCTCAAAATAGGCTCACAAGAGGCAGGGTTGGCCATATGTACTTGATCTATCCAGATATCAAGATGATGGTCGGAGACCACTTGAGCAGAGGTGGCGGATGATCAGGTGACGCCTCACTGCAGTGAATGTCTCAATAATATACATAACTCAGAATGGTGGTGGAGGCCGTATGGACAAGTGCTTGCGTTTCATTGCCAAGTGCCGTTCGCTGTGTATGCCCTACTGCCCTTTCTTTTCTATATTTGAGACATTGCACCCAGTGAAAGATCCGACAATCTTGTTTGGAATTCTCGTGAATAACATAACAGACGATGTCTACGTATTGCCCCTAGCTGGGTCGTGTATTTTACGGCGGATGTTTTCAGCAGAACGGTCAAATTTGCATTAACTGACTAGCAAACAGGGAGCCTCGTTAACAGTTAACGAAAGGATATAGTGGGAACAGCAAAGTCAGCAGCAAGAGCGATAGTAGAATCAAAAAGCAAAAAGCAAGAAGCAAGAGGCAAGAAGCGAAAACATAATGTGCGATCCGAAGCAAAAGCAAAACAGAACGATGGTATAACGAGGGAATATATACTAGTTATCATCAATCATGAACAAATCATATAAGCAAGCATCGAGAGAGTGTGAAGGGAAATCACGTTGGTGTAACACATGAGCAAGCGTCGATATAGAAGAGGGTTGGGGCAGAGGAATGATGGCTAGTCAGATCACGAAGGAAAGGTGAAAAAAGTAGTAGCAAAGGGAAATGAAGAAGAATAAGAAGAAGAGTAGAAGAAAGGTAGAATCGAAGGAGTAATAGGGGTCCAGAGAAAGTGGATAGTTGGTGTGGTTCGAACATCAGCGGAATGGAGAAAGGTGAAAAAGGTGAAGAATGCGAGTAATCACTGACTAGCCAGAGTCAGAGCGAGAGGATCGATAGCGAAAATGTAGAGAAAAGACCCAAAGGGCCAGGAACATCAAGACTTACCAGACCACCTTGAATATAGAACAGAAGGGCAACGAAATTTGAATGAACAAGGGGATAGACGGGAGGAGGGTCGAGAAGAGGACGCGCAATGGAAAGCAGCAGGGAAACAGAAAGCCCAGAAAATAAGTATCAAATACCCACTGCGTAAGCCCAATAGAACTCCAAATGTCAGAAAGCTCAGAAGATCAAATAGCCACTGCTAAACACCAACCGAACTCCATAACTTCAGATAGCCACCGCGTGACCCCGACAAAACTCCAAATGTCAGAAAGCCATACCAACTCCAACAAGCAACAGCCAACAGCCAACACCAACACCAAAGATTGGAATAGATATAAAAAGAAACAAAAGACTGCACTCAATCGGTGCACCTGTGCGTTGACATGTCAGTGACACCTATGATCGGTGCTATCATAAAGTTGCGCGTCTTGTTCTCTTCGGTAGGTTTGTCACCTCATCCCATCGTCCCCTTCTTCACCTTTCAACTGCTCATGGAAATAAGCATTGCAAGAATCTTCGTGCCATGTTCAATGGCAAACCCCACTAGAGCAGTAGGTATTCCCACTTCCTACTCCGCATGACCTCTCGCCAGTGGATATACTTGGACTCCTGCTGGGGCTCCTCCACTTCCTGTTGCTCCAACTCGTCGGCTTCCTGCCCTTCGAGATCCCCGGCTTCCTCGACTTCCTGCACCCGCTGCATCAGCTGTGATGGATGAGTGGCGGTATCATTGAGAATGGAATTGGTCGGCTTCTTGGGAGGCCTGGTACCGCTTCCAGGAATACGACCAGTCTCGTCTGAAAGCCTCCAGACCTCCTTCAGGACTTGATACATCCGACCAATACTCCCAAAGTCGCCTAGGAACCGCAGTGCTGCAACTCTCTCTGCCAGGGTCTTCCGGAAGAGACTGGGAGGAGCGGAGTACAGACCCGCGATGAACAAAGGCCAGGCCAGGCAGCGATCAAAGCCACTAGGCCCGGCCGGAATAGTCTGCAGAAGATCACCCATAGCTGCAACCCAGCTCAAGACGGTCGCGTCGTAGCTGTCGAAATTGGGAAGGAGGCTGTGCAGGTAAAGGCGAACAGCGATACGGAAGATGGCTGTCACAAGCTTGGCCAACTCTTCTGACTGGATGGCCCCGCTAACATCGTAAAGTGCCCCAATTGGGGACTCGGTGGCCTCTGTCCAGTTTATCTGGTCATTCATGGCCGAAACATGCTGGAATAGTGACTGCTCATCAATGACTCCGCTATTCCACAGGGACTCGAGACACGCAATCTCCGAAATCAGGTACATGAGGCGATCATCACAACCCATCATATGCTGCAGCCCAGAGCTTATGCCGCACATGTGCTTTTGGCGATAAGTGTGGGAAAACTGGGGCGTTTTACCAATCATTGTAGCTCCAAGGATATCTACCCAAGCAACGAGTGTGATATTCATGGGACTGGGTGCACAGTTGAGCTTCTTGATGAGGTTCGAGACACCCTGGAAGTGGTAGCTCCAAGGGATGTCGGACAAGTAGTCTTCCGTGGTGGCAACCGACGAGTGATAGTAGATCAGACCGAGTGTCGCATCCATTACCTGTGAGTGGCCGGTGCTGTTGTCCAACATCTCAGTGAGATAGTTGATTGCGGTGAAACGATGCTCCATAATGTCATGATCCATTTGGTCGTCGAGGCGGAGACTGTTCTTCAGGTGGATCGCAGATGCACTCAGGCAGCAGTGGAGATAGGACTTGTTAGTCTGCATCAAGTCGAGGATTTCCTTGGTATGCAAAGCAGGACCGGGTCTCACTTCGAGGATGGGGAAAACGAGATGCACAACATGGTCGGCGAAGTGGTCGAGAAGTGGAAGGGCACGGTCTCCTACCGAAATCAAGCTGCGCAAGGTCTCTGATAGAGGAGGCTTCTGGGCACCTCCGAACAGTGGAGCACCACCGTCCACAGGGTTGAAGGACTGCTGCGAACTTGACTGTACTGGACTGAGACTTGGCTGGCTCCACTCAGTGCTGGAGAGGAGAGGGGTTGAGGGAGGCAGATGCGAAAGACCGGAAGACGCAGACGTCGGCATAGCTGGACTCGACATCATGGACCAAGCGTGGGGATAAGCCGGGGACTGGGGGAAAGACGGAGTCGAGAGCGCCGACGTCGGAGTGGGAGGAAGTGCTGAAGTGTGTGAGGAAGACCCCAGGATGGGTAATGTGAACGTGTTGACCGGAACGGACGAAGTGCCTTGAGGCAAGGTCGGGGACGAACCCAGACCCATGCTCTGAAGCACGGCATCCTGCTGGGACTTCAACTGGTCATCACCGGGGCTGACGGGTGTTGGGAGAGACTGACTGACAGCTCTGGGGAGCTCTGCGAACGCGGGGCGGGGGGTGCGAGGGGGCGCATTGACAGGAGGGCGCCGGGCGAGTGCTGAAATCCGATCCCGATACTCTGTACGTGATACTAGGTTGGATACCATATTAGGCATGTGAGAGGTGCGTGGGATTTACCTTGAAGCCCACCCTCCTTCTCCATGATCTTGGTCTGCCTTATTCTCTGCTTTATCCTCTCCTTCTGCCTCTTGCGCATCTCCACCGTTGCCCACCACTGAGGAGTCCGGTATTCACACCTCAGCCCAAGCTTAGTGCATGCGGCGCAGTTTGGACGAAACTCGTCGCATTTCTTTCTCCTCACCCGACAGGTGAAGCAGCCTGGAGATAACATGATTAGCAACCAGATCAAGAGCATAGCTGTAAGCCTGAGATAGCCCTGTATCTTTTGTGACCACTGAGTCCTGCTGTGATGGGGGAAGTTATACCTGAGCGAGATCTCTGTCTGGACTTGCCATTGGAGGATCCGCTTGGCTTGTCAGAAGCCTGGGGCGCCTCTGAACTGCCAGTGACCTCCGTATCGTCCGCCGCTGCCGGACTAGCAGTGGCTTCCGGACTGTCCCTATCCGAGATGATGGGGTCGTCCAAGACCGGCAGGCTGGAAGAAGATGCCATTGGAGCAGACATTTTCCAGAAGTTCGCAGGACGGAGGCAATGGTTGAAGTGCGGTGGAAAAGTGGGGTGCGAAACGCGATATCTGATATGAGTTTTCTTTTTTTTTTCTTTTGGGAAGGTGGTATATAAAAAGCCTGATAGCAGTGCGAAAGAAGAAGGGAAACAAGACGAAGAACAAAAGTGTGAAGTTGGATTGATGCTTTGATATCCTCTGGATGGGTCTCAACTCTTGAGTCCTTGAGAGGATGGAAGACAGAATTCGAGTGGAATCGAGCTGCTCTTTATGAAGCCATTTTGGTTAGGATAGTAGATATGATAAAGTATGCGGTTTACCTGCGCCAGCATACGCATAGTCTGATAGTTGCTATTTTTTGCCAACCTCAGCGGTTGATGGACAAGGGATATTGTTCGAAAACAGGTCTGATATGCACGCCTTGTGGGGACCGATTTCGAAGAGCAAATCATCATAGACTCGAAGATCGTGAATAGAAACGCGGCGCTGCTAAATCGGGAACTGTAGTAAAGGAAGGAATGTTGGTTGACAGAGAGCGTGGGAGGTCGAGACGCCCGCGCTGTTAGACGCGCAGCTCTGACGGCTGCAGGGAACTTCCTCGGTCTCATAGGTTCTTGTCAGGGTCCTCTTGGTTCGTCCTTAGCGCGAACGTGAGGTCGGCGCGTAGAGATGGCGCCGGGTTGGTCAAGCGAATGTTCCTGTTGGCTTTGGTCAATCAATAGTTCAAGAACACCAACACTTGCGGAGTAGATGAATAGCGTTACAAGTTATTGCTATCACACCATTGTGGTCGCAAGGACGTCTATCACAATCTAGATGGTCTGTATGTTATGGCTACAAGTGACCATGGAGATGCGTGGTTTTCTTCTTGTATGCGGGAGACATTCACATCAACAGTAAAAAGGGTGAGGTGAGAACGAGATGTTTAGCGACGCACCGCGCATGGGCGATACCGATTTCTCCCTCCAGGTAAATCGTGACCCAATAGATCTCTGTCACAGCATTTGGGAAGGATATTCAATATGTGTTATTGGCTACCCGTCCCCAACGGGCGTCAAATGAGACGTGCCAAGCTTCCAGGATTAGTTTTTGATTTGGTCAAAGCCAGTAGTTAACCCACCGGTGCAACGGGGTTGGTTCTGGGTGCCATGCAGCGGAGTAAGTGGGACTCGGCCCGTGCAAAGGTGGGGGGAAAGGAAGAAAGGAAAAAGAAAGGAATGCAAATGACGCTCGGAGCCCCGGAGGCACGACGCTACTCTCTTTTTTCGAAGAAGATCCCTTAATTAGCAACCCGTAACCGCCCGGACTTCTCCCCTACGCGCCCGGCCGCATCTTGAGCGCTTCGGTATAGGTTCGGCCAGCATTCATTGGGTGCTCCGGAGAATACAAATCCAGCGATTCGACTTCTACCATTACCCCGGTTTTTTCCTATAAATAAATTGCAAGGAGAGGTCATAATTAGCAACTGGCCCTGGAATCGCCGCCCGGCATTACATCTTATTGGCTGCCATAGCTTCAACTCTAGATAACAGGGCTGCACTAAGCTCCACCTAAATCACGCTTTATCAATCTATTTATCCGCGAACCTAACCAAATCCAGTTACTCTGTTGTTAATTTCGTAAACAGTATGCATTAGTTGCGATTATCGTTCAATGGTCGCACCCACAGACCATGCGAACAAGGGTAAGTTGACTATTATTATCACTCGGGGTCGGATAGACACTGCGAATTTCCACGTTCTCGAGCTGCGCTGATCTAAATCTATCCCCACTAATGCATATCTAAGAAATCATCGGTAGTTTCGGGCCTCATTGCTGCTTGACATGTTCCAGGAGAAAACACATGTTCTATTTTTATGTCAATCTATATTCGATCCGGTGATGCGATCTAGCTGGACCAGAATCATGATCAAAAATAGAACAAAGGGAATGTAAACACAAGACCAGCAAAGAAGAGAAAACATTCCGAACTGCGTTGGTGTCTACTACAAGGAGGAGAGTGTGGAAGAGTGAGGGGAAATGGGTTAGAGTAAGGTAAGCCGGGTGTGTGCGGCGAGCAAGACCTTAACAGTCTTTGAAAGAAGCTAACATACAGTATCAGACTGACCATCCAACATGAAATCAACTACATTGTGGCTAATAGTCGTTCGTTATAAGACCTGCAGCTCCTCCCATGGACCGGGCCGTCTCTGCTGCTGACGGTTGCCGCCTTCCAGCAAGACGGCGACAAAATATAGGCAATGGGGGCAACGAGCACAGCGGGCACAGTGATCACACTTGTGCATAAAGCCAGGAAGAACTACCATAGTATTGGTATCCTACTAATTACCCTTAGTTATGTATGTGCCCAGAGCGCTAATCAGCAGCGTAAATCATAAACTAAGCAATTACAGGAGAAAAAATCACGGGAGGAGCGGACAACTCCACAACGGGCCGTTCGCTACTAGAGCTTCCATCATCATATAGCATCTCTTAGATTATCTCTAGAGTAGATGTTGATCCGCTGGGGATCACGGGTAGACGCCCTCTTGGAAAAATTTGTGTGAATAGAGATAGGTTTACAATAGAGACAGCGATGGCAACCCTTCATAAATAATGTAAATGTGCCTGCGTTGACACATGAAACTGGACGATCACATCTCGGGTATTTTTCGTTCCGGAGGTGGGGCACCCAAGTAACGGTGTGATGAGATTGTGATATGGGCTGATGGAGCAGGTTGGAAGGATCATCCACCCTCCTGCATAGCGATAATCAAACTTGAACTGTTATACCAGCTTGCGATATAATGGTTGCCATGCGCCTGGTTCTCGGAGTCCTTTTAGCGAACACCCGAAACCCATCCGTGATTCTCTGGCACAACAAGTCAAAGGGAATTACTTGCCCAGTATCAAATATCTTCAGATACGCAGTTACCATATATCGATAAACGCATTGGAGTAATAGACAAGCTGCCTGCCATCACTATTCCATGTCGGCGGCAATCACTGGATATCCAGACGTCCTCCATGGGACTTAGAGCTATCATTACAGGGATTGCCTCCTCCAGTCTCCTTAGGACAGTTGACTGCCATTGCTTTGACATGATCTTCAGATTCGACGGGTATACTGCCATATCCATTGGGTGTACTGGCGCCGATGTTGGACTCAAGCTGAGAACGTGGACCGGCCTCAGGCGTTCCTGGCCAAGAGACCACGAGGTTTGGAGTTAGAAGCTGATTCTGATAGGCGATGACGAGGACAGCTCCAATTGTGTGGCATTCAGCGCTCGTTTGGAGAACTCTGTAACGGGCTGGCGGTTCGCCGGGTGCTGGTATCCTAGGTGTCAGAGCAAATGATACCATCGCATCGGAGGGCGGGGCTGGGAATGGAGGGAATTCGAAATGGCACTAAGGAGATGGTGAAACCTGCAAGCTCCTGGGCGCGTACATGTTGCGAAGCAATCAGAGCCTATGGTGTGTTGCTGCAAGAGTCGTCACAGCAGTAGCGCCGACAAACCGACCTCTCACGGGGCGCCGTCACCCGCCGACGCCCACCCGGCTGCATGTCGACCTCTGGTATCCAAGGAAGTCACTGCGATCGCCGTCCACTCTCGTTTTTCTCCGCCATTTTGACAGTCTGACCGTCGGTCTAGGGCGACTTGGACGTGCCAACCATCGTTCTCATCACAGCGGCAACCCAGGCCTATGCTGCCGCTGGCCCAAATCCTCCTGGGTTGCTGCCTCCCCTCCTCATCCAATTCGCTCGATCCAGCCCACGGGTGACGGCCCTGCGTATTTGCCGCCGGCACAGAAATTCTGTGCAAAGTGACCGCAAACCCTTGGGCGACCGTTGTACATAAACTCTTCCTTGACCCGATCCGGCCGTTCTCAGCGACGCTACCGCTCAACTGCCTCCAGTCTCCAGTGTTAACCCGTTTACTAGATATCACATCCCACACCCTTTCCCCAACCAACATACTGTTAACCATCAACAAATTTACAGTTAGATCGACTAGCATAGTTGGTTTCTGCATATTCCCCTCTTTATCACGGCCCTTGGGGCACCAGACATACGCGAGACAATGGTAAAGACCCCTGTGGCCTGCCTCCACTTGAAGTGACTCGGCTGACCAGAAGTCAGTCAACCCAGTTAGCCTACGATGGCAACCTACCTGGCTTGCGGAAAAGTGAAGCGGCTTCATACTATGCCGCCAGAGCTTCCTTTGGCCGACCCCTCTCCCAAGAGACGATCATGGAGGAATCAGATCATGGTGATGACGATGACGATAACGATGATGATCTGAGTTACCTTGATGATTCCCCTTTCACAAGCGTCGCCTCGGTAAGTCTGCATATATCGGGCGTCTCTCTGGTGGCACACTAGTTACTAACGCTACCATCACAATACAGTTCGGGACTGGAAGTATCTCCTCCGCTTCTACCCCAAATGAGGCAACCACACCTGACTCCACTGGGCTGACGGCGTTTGATTTTCACATCGATGAAAAGGCCGTCAGGGGCCCAAATGGTCCTCATCTGTTTCGGCCGTCTGCGGATCTCTCAGACTTCTACAGTAACTACGGAGAGACTGAAATGGGCTGGGAAAGTCGGCCTCCAAGCGCCATGGCACCTTTCTACCAGTCCGCTTCCAAGCTCGATCCTGTTAGAAGAGATACTCCTGTTCCAAATCGTGCTACATCCACACCACAGCCTCAACTACAACCGCAACCTTTGTTTCAATCCCCAGCTCCAACCCAGTCTTCGGTTCAATCCCGGGAGCGACACCGGCCCCAACAACTTCAACTTCATGACCAATCTCGCTCTATATCTAGTCAGAGCATACTCTCCACTGAAGGCGAAATTCGACAGTGGTCTCCTGAAGATGTGGTCAAGTGGCTGCATGCCCGCGGGTTTGACACGGGCGTCGTCGAGACTTTCTATATGAATGACATCTCTGGATCTATTCTTCTTGAACTCCAGAATGAAGACCTGAAGGAACTGGGTGTCCAGTCTTTTGGCAAGCGTCACAACATCATGAATGCTATCAAAACCCTTCGGGATCCTTCAAGATCTGCCTCTGTAGGAATTTTCAGATCCTCAGAGAATGCATCTGTTCCGCCAACCCCGCGCACTCACAGCAGTGGGTCAACCTCTGATTGCCAGTCAGGCTCAGGATCCGACAGCTACAAATCCGCAGGATTCAGTGAGAATCGCCGCCGTCGTCAACATGGCGGTTCTGCTCCACGTAAACCCGAGGACCTGAACACTGAGAACCCAGTCTCAATTGTCGCAATTGAGCAGGTCTTGCCCAAATTACACAGCTGCTCAAAGGGGGAGAGTTGCCGCAAGTGGCAAAAACAGCAGGAAAAGCTTTCAAAGCTCTCGCAGGATCTCCCTATCGGTAACGTCAATGGCAGAATTGTTCTGACGGGCGACCCTGGAAACCCGAAGACAGCGCCAAACCTGATCAAATCACCCAAGTCAGAAATTACTCCCTCTCTCATCGCTTCGTCTGATGTTATGGGCCCGTTACGCACACCCGGACTTGCCAGTCTGTGCAAAGAGAAACTCAACGAGGTGCAACCCAGAGACCCGCAAGAAAACGTGAGAAACTTTTTGAGCTTCCAGCACCTGCGCAAGATTCAAGCAGTCAACGATCCTGTCACTCCTCCAAAGGAGGTTCTTGAGACAGAAGAACCTTGCACATCTCCAAGGGCGAACCCCACTCTCTCCGAGAATCTTCGTCATCTCCCGAAACTGATGATTCCGGGTACGCAAGACCGGTTGTCCGATTACACCCCAGAGCTGTCCTCTCAAAGGACTGTTACACAAGAGTATCCAACTGCCATTCATAGGGGGTATGACTCTTATGGCTATGATACTTCCGAATCACCTGCCGACTTCTATCGCAGCGACCCTCATTATGCGCAAGGTACTCCTTACTCCGAGACGGATGTTCCTCTGACTGCCGTGCCTGCCGGGCTCGTGCCGCGAGAGGACTCTCAGTCCGTCCCTCCTAACATGCGCTTCGGATCAGACCGGGTTGTTCTAACCGATCCTATTCATCGCTCTGCATCAGTGCAACCTGGGACTCACCGTCGCAACACTTCCTCCGATGAGCGACCCACACTGAGGCCAATTGAAACCCCCGAGGAGTATTCGAGAACCCCTCGGATGGGTTACAACTCGCCCACCAGACGGTCCCCGAATGATGTCACCCACAGTGGCTGGATGAAGAAACGGAAGACAACACGCCTTCTCCGCCATGAATGGGAAGAAAACCTTTACACCCTGAAGGGCACTCAGCTTGCCAAGCACTCTAATGAGGCCCCAACGCAGCGCCACTCTAAAGCGCTGGAGTACATTGATGTTGACGACTATGCTGTTGCATGCTCGTCGCTTGCGTCAAGCTCCAAACTCACGGCTGCCTTCAAGAAAACTGTCCTGAAGCGCAAGAACAGCACTCAAAATGATTCTGCCTTTTCTTTCTCTTTGATCCCCGCCACTGGAGCTGGCAACAGCCAAGTGGATAAAAAGGCATTGTTCCTACATACCGGAAAGAGCCACCATTTCGCTGTCAAGACCCGGGATGAGCGCATCGACTGGATGAGAGAGCTTATGCTTGCAAAGGCTCTGAAGCGCGGTCGCGAAGGAAGTGTTGATCCGAGTAACAACTTCATCTGAGGGGTTTGTGGACTGACTGTAGTTGAGTGTGCTGTTGCCCGTCCTGTTTAGTATCAAAGATACCCACCATTGGAGTTATAATGTCAGTTGCATTCATTTCACCTCATCTTATTCTTTTCTCTCCCGATTCTGCATCGCTACAGCTTGTATGAAGATTGATGAGTCTTACGAATTTTCTTTTCTTTTCTTTTTTTTTTTTTTTTTTTTTTGTCATGATCACCTTTTCCTTGGGTTCTTCAATTTCTGGCATATGTCTTGCACCAAGAGGTGTGGACCTCGATTATTTTGCTACGGATTATACTGTGGCCTAATCATGTACATTTCACCTTTCATTATCTATGGGTTGCTCTCGAGACTGAACATAGATGCGACTTGTGTAGTACAGGGAATAAAATTACCTTTTTCAAGACATAGGACCAATGTACTCCAACTAGCAGCACTTCCCACGGGGTTGGGGGGGAGAGAAAAAAAAAAGTAATGAGCAGATAGATACCACAGCTAACCATGGGAGTTCAGGGTCAATGAGATAACCGGTGGTGCCATGTGTGCTGAGTAGGTGTCGGGCTGATAAGTGTCTGTGGGGTGCCCATCACCCAGCCAGTCAACGGTGGAAAGGTGGCCGACTAGCGCACGAGCCGTGAGATTGTCCCAGCCCGGCGCTTAATGCAGCCCGGAGACTGGCTTGCCTCACCAAAGAGCATGGCCAACCATCACACGCCATCCATCCCTCGTTGCGTCTTGCCTTCCGTCTCTTTCTCTGCCCCGGCGCTTACAGGCAGCCAACCTGCTTCTACATCACACCGTAGTAGCAATTCAGGTACCCTTCCTCCGGACGGATCTTCGCTCACATTTGCCCACGAACCCACCGCTCTCCTACTTTCTATGCAGCTCAGATGCATTGTCCAACAGCAGATGGCCTGGATACCGCAATGTTGACGCCCATCCCCTCAGTTCCTGGCAGATCCATGCGGGAGGGTCCACGCCGTCCATGTTCGCGGTCGGCCATGTGAGCAGGAGCAGCAGCAGGACATCCTTGGATGGCTGTTGTTCCCTTCCCCGCTCCAATCTAATTAGCAGGCTAACTAGGCATGCCAACCCACTCACCTTCTCCTTTGGCGCTGAGCTCAGCACTTTCTGGCGGCTAACGAACATACTAGTAGTAGCTGGATTTCATCCTAGCCAATTTTTATCTAGCGATAACTGTTCTTGTTTCTCTCCCAGTCAATGCTCAACTCGAGTTTCTCCTCTCAATGCCACATGTACTCAGAATAATCCCGAGCGGAGAGGCTTGCGCTCAGCCGCTCGCTCTGTCTCCCAACATGGTTGACGTGCACGCCGTCAGTTGCCGCCTTGCGCAAGCTGCTCATTCCGTACGAGCTGCCATGCGTTCTCTCGGTGGTGGACGGGAGTCACAGGATTCCTCCCATAAGGCCATTCTCGCTATGAGTGAGATCATAGACCTTATATACCAAGTCCGGGAGCAACTGAGTTCAGACGAGAAATGGGCTATCGCTCAGGCGCGGTTGAATGCCCTCGAGGAGCTCTTGAACTCCTTCGAAATTACGATCGCGACGATGGAGATCAATTTTCAGCCAGGAGGGGTGGGAAGTCGTGTCTACAGAAAGGGCCTACTGGAACAGACGTTCATCCAACGGTTGGAACAATACAGGATGGCTTTCCTCGTCGCAATGCAGCCTGATTCCCGGTATTTTTGCACCCCCGCGACGATCCCCCGTAAGGGAAGCTTACTTCTGCTCTGTGAAATCCGCTGATTGTGTCTTTAGTGAGAAAGCTGCGATGGAGCACCAGCTACGAACTTCAATACGCACGTTCCGTGACTTGGAGCCCGGTAAGTATCTTCGCTCGCTCTCCCCACTTTCTCACCTTACAAATCACTGAACTCGTCCTCCTTAGAATGGCTGCGACAAAACCCCTTTTGCGGGGAGGATTTCCACTGCATTACGAGTCCAGTCACGTCGAGAAACCTGATGAAATTTACTGGGATGTGCAATAGGCGGGAGCAGGGAACATGCCAGTGGATATTTCAGGAGGAGAGCTACAAGGCTTGGCTTTTTGGCTCCTACCGGACGTTATACTTCATCGGGCCAGGTATGTGTACCTCATCGTGACAGTAGAACCATGAACAATTGTGCTGACTGGTGGGCAGCCGGTGCCGGGAAAACATTCATGGCGTGAGTGAATAAAGTACTCGATATGTATAAAGGTGCTGGCTAATGTGTTGCTCTAGCGCATCTGTTACCGAAAACCTGCGAAATACCTTTGCTCTCTCCGACGTTGCAGTAGTCTTCCTGTTCTGTGAGGATGAGAAAGATGACAGCCCGCGGTCTTCGATATCTATACTTGAAAACTTTCTTGCTCAACTTGTCCATCGCAGGGGTGCTGCATCGCATACGACTGCGGCCTTATACGAATCTGAGGAGTTCTTACGGGGCCAAGCATCAGCAAAAGCTTACCAAAGCGTGATCCGGGCAGAAGTCAATCATTTCTCCAAAGTCTTTGTCATTATAGATGGACTAGACTCTTTTGGTGAAAAAGATCGTATACTAAATCGATTTCACAAGTTACCAGAGCATGCACAGTTGCTCATTACTCTACGTGAAGCACGGCATGAGAAGGATGTCTGCATACCTATCATGGCGTCTCAACGGGACCTCGAGACTTACATCGATGCTCGACTTGGGAGAGAGTCTGGCCTTACGGCTCTTTTAGAACAATATCCTCCTGAATATGAACTTAGAGATGCAGTCATTGCGCAGGTGGCTCTGAGATCGCGTGGTTTGTGCGTTGGCCCGATTTGTCATGTTTGCCTGTGTACTTGCATTCGCTGACTGACGAATAGGTTTCTCCTGGCCCAACTTCACATGGATCTTTTGTCAAGGTGCCCTGATGCGAGCGTACTTCAAACGACTTTGTTGCACCTACCGAATACCCTGAATGATGCTTATGCTGAATCGATGAAGCAGTTGGCAAGTCATAATCTCCATGCCAGCCGGTGCATTTCTTGGACACTATATGCCTACCGACCACTTACCGTGGCGGAGTTGGAATATGCTGTATTCTTTGAGCCTCAGAACGGCGCTGCTCAGAAACAGCCTTCTTCGTTCGAGCATATCCTTTATGTTGAAACCGCAGGCATTCTCATCGTTGATCGGATTACCACTACTGTCCATCTTGTCCACCGAACAGCGAAGGAATACTTGACGGGAGCAGCAGCGAGGGTGTTCTTCCCTACGGCGCGGAAACACATAGCTGAAACATGTCTCACTGTCATTGCATCGGATGAGGTTGTGGATGACTTTTACCTGAATCACCGTGCAACCCCCAAAATCTCGAACAGCAGCCTTCTCGCCTATGCAGCCACCTATTGGGGAGATCATGTCCGTGAGCTCCCCGAAGAAGAGCAGACAACCCAGGTCCTTATTGGAACATTTCTCAACAAACTTTGCTGGAGGCGGCCTCCAATCTACGAAGATTACAGCGAGGATGATACCGATATATTTCCAGAACTGGGTCTGGCAAGATATTATCCTGACTGGAGTGCACTTCATGTCTTAGCCTACTTTGGAATAACAACCAAAGCCAAACGTCTAATAGAGAAAGGGGCTGACGTAAACGCCAACGACAACGCCCTAGGCCTCACGCCGCTTCACTGCGCTGCTCACCGTGGTCATGAAGAGATGGTAGAGCTTCTTCTTGATAGCAAAGCCAACATAAATGCAACCAGTAACGAAGGGTATACTGCAATGCACCTTGCTGCAGAACAAGGCCAGAGAAGAATAATGCGCCTTTTGCTTTCCAGACGCGCCAACTCCAGAACGGCCAATCGAAAAGGTGTTACGGCACTACATCTGGCTGTAGGAACGGCATTGGATGAAGCGACTGTGCCCCTACTTATCAAGAGCCGATCTGACATGGACGCCCAGAATGCACTCACCGGAAATACAACGCTTCATATTGCTATAGAACTCAGGAGACCTCGGGTTCTTCTTTTTCTTCTCGAAAAAGGTGCGAATCTGAACGTTTTCAACAAGCAAGGCCTCACTCCTTTGCAATTGGCTGCTAAGCTCGATAACTGTGAGGCACTTACTATGTTGCTTGAGAAGGGCTCAAAGGTCGACTTCTGCTCTTTGACGGGCTTGACAGCTTTGCACATTGCCGCCATGGAGAATAACTGGATAGCCTTTGACATACTGATAGTCGGAGGAGCGGACATCAATACATGGGACGAGGATGGCGAAACGCTGCTCCATAAGCAAGCACGGCAAGCGTCAAGCTCAACTGTTGCGTCCCATCTCCTAGAACAAGGAGCCAACATCGAGGCCCGCACCTCCCAAGGCTACACACCGCTACAGTGTGCGGCCATGGATGGAAACAAGAAGATGTTCTTTTTCCTGTTAGAAAATGGCGCAAAGGTCGACGTTGAAACACCCAAAGGAGAGACACTCCTCCACATAACACCTCCCTCTAGCCAAGACTGTCTAGACATCCTCATGACGCTCCTGAAAATGGAACTGGATGTCTCGGCAATTTCCATCAATGGCTGGACACCTCTCCATCAGACAGTAATCATGGGCACAGGTGCCCCAGACATTGAGTTCGACAAGACATCGGAATACATAGATCTCCTCCTCTCGCATGGCGCCGATATAAACGCTGCTGCGGAATCGCCGAAAGGTGAAGCACCACTACACCTTGCAGTTATAGCGACCATGCAGCGACCATCCTTGGTGTCCTATCTTGTCAGCCGTGGTGCTTCCGTCAATTGCACGACGAGCGAAGGGAAAACACCCCTTCATTTGGCCGCTGAACAAGGCCGCAATTCCATTTTCCAGGCTCTCCTCGCTGCGGGAGCAGACTTGACTATCAAAGTTCCAAACCCTACTACCGACGACGAGGAGGATTCCGACGAAGGGGATACTCCTCTGGATATAGCTCGAAAGCATCCACTGAGTTCCCACTGGTTCGACGAAACGGGCAATTTGCAGCTGTCCGTGACTGGCAGCCAGTGCGGCAGTCTAGCAACACCAATAGAGGAGCTCGACACAGATTCAGAGAGTGATGGCGAAACCCACCGGTCGACTTCGGCTTCAGTTGGAGATGGAGAATCCCAGTGGGGATCAGTGGTTTCCACACAGGTGGCCTCTACACTTAGCGGAGCATAGAAAAAGACGTGCTTTTTCATATAACTTTCACTACATGATGTTGTGATGAATCATTAGCGGAACAGCATCTCACAGTCATTAGCGAGGAGCATTTGGAGTTGAATTAACTATTTTATTTTGCTTTGCAAACCAGAGCTTTCTCTATCTTGTTGCCGTAAAAGGCGTAGCACAGAAGACTCTACCAAACCGGGCCTACATCTAACCACATAACTATAAGGCTCAAGAAGTCCCCAAGTCCATATTCAAGGTCCTAGTTATCTGACCTCGGACTTCGGGGGGGCCATCAACCCAGCAAAAATGCAACACCACCAACCGTCTAACCACCGTTGTTACAACAGACAGTGAAAGTGACGCACGACCAAGCACACTGGCGACAAAGAAAATGGCAAGTAAACCCCTGCATGAACTCCATGCCCATCAGGCAATGGGTACATACGCGCTGCCTCATCACCAATGGCATACATTGTCACACATCCACCACATGCATGACCAGGCACCGCAAAACTCACGTCACACACCGCAGGCTAAGCGCCGCTTTACCGCCGTTACATACACTGTGTGTGCGCGTGAGTGTATGCCCAAACAGTGGAAATTGGAATCTATCTTCCTTGAAAATTGTAGTATGGGTATTCTGAGTGTTACGCCATTACTCTAGGATGAAGCCCAGTTTCCAATGCGTATGTACAAGCATTAGTGGATAGATATAAGAGAGCGTCGTGCAATCCAAATCATAATAGAATAAGGAACAAAGACCCATAGTCTAGCTAATAATTCTATTAGTAGTAGCTAGACGGGCCAGAAACCGCAGCGCATGCGCACAGTACTACCTACGCACCTCCTCCTCCTCCTTCTTCTCGATCCCTAACCACCACCACCACCACCAAACAAAGTCTAGACTTTTTCACGATCAACCAGAAGAAGGCAAACAGGGGAGGGGGAGAGGGAGAGGGAGAGAGGACAACCTCATCACCCACCCACTCCTTCCCCCTCATTCAGCTCTTTCAGCTCTCCCCCACAACGCATCGAACACATCATTCAACCTATATCTATCTATCGACCGCAGCCAGAACCTAAGCGCCAGAAAATTGAAGGGATGGGAGAGAAAATGAAGTGAAATGTGACAGCGAACTGGTACCCCGCTCCACGTATCTCTACCACTTCATATGCAGTCAAAGCTACTTAGAGCAAGGTACATATCTACCTTGTCCTGTTCAGGTAGGTAGATAACTACTAGGCCTAGGTCCACTGTACTATCTCCAGTAAAAGTGAGACAGTGACGGTTAGGTAGTATAATAAGTAGTTAGTTAGTTAGTTAATACTTAATTGTGATTGACCCTAAACCCCGCTTTTTCCGGACACGTAAGGAAATCCACCAATCATGTACTCAGCTGGTGTGATGAGATTGTGATGGGCTGGGGTTGGTGAGGGGGGAAAGAAAAGGAAAAAGGAATTATGACCAGGGGGTAAATTTTTTGAATCGTTATTGTCGTTATTTCTTTTTTAATTCTGCTCTGTGGTTAATTAACTTTACTCAATTAAGGGGATGGGATGGGATGTCAATTAAGGGTTTGGGAAGGGGGTAAATTAGGGTTTTGTTAAATATGGGGACTGCAGGAATTTGTTACTTTTATGAAATATTTATAGGAGGTTAATTTGGAGGGGTCTAGATTGGGAAATATGGGTTGGGTACTTAGGTTGTTAGGTAGTTGCTCGTGACTCGGCTTTGGAAACTACTTGAGGGTTTCCGGTTACTATTGCACAATGGTGCTATGATTCTTCGTGATGAAAGAGGCGAGAAGGGCTGTGTCTCTTGATCATAGTTTCTAGTGTCGCCCTTCTAAATAAACTCGAACAAAAACGCGAGGCCCCGCGCAAACTGTTGGGTGAATTCCGCGGTATATTGAATTTAAGTATTAGAGAATATCAACGCTATCTAACAGCAGTGCTGGGCTAATAACGGCGCACCACTTGCCAACGATGCAATCGTATATTACCCCATCATCCTGATCACAATGTAAAGCCACCCATCGCCATACCCCGAGCATCTCACAACCTCGTCTAGCGGAGCCCCCATTGGCACTGCTGCTCCATGCAGCACTGGTTTCGCCAGGACGGGTGTCCTTCGACTAGGGAATAGGTGCGGTAGAAGCGAGTGCAGTGCTGACCCTATGGTCTGTGGTTGAGGCCCTCTGGATGTAGTTAGGATGGATTGACTTGCCATGACGCTGGCGCTAGGTCCGGAGATTGGCTGAATTGTTGGTGGAATAGGAGACTGGACTACTTTGAGAGATGGCGAGTCTGAGTCCGGCGGGAGGGGGAGAAAGAACCGGACAGGTATGTTGCGGAACGGTTGGGACTGTGGTGGTAGGAGAATGTTGGATATTCGCTGGAAGTTTGGCAGGTCCACTGGAAGTATGTTCAGCCCTTTGATCTTGCTGTCAAAACCATGTAAGCGACAGCTGGATAACGTACCATCTCTGACTGACTCCCAGAGCCCCGCCGAATCCTCCCTGGAAAGAGTCATGATTCCTTTGGCGGTACCGTTCCTCAGGAAATCTGCCTCTTTGACACTATTGATGAAAGCATCATGCATCACTATCCCATCCGCATCAAGTCGGACGAGTTCTTCATCGGGCCAGTCGCTGAAATGCACGACTAGACGCCATGGCAACGGGTCTTCATCCGTTGTGGAAGCCAAGTCAGTGTCAGCACCTCCTTTAGAGGCAGGATCAGCTCCAGCATAAAGGTCATAAAGGAGGCCAACTGGGTAGTGCCATTTCAACGGAACGCCCTCGAAGGAAAACCAGCCTTCGTGCGGGCGGGAGCCGGGATCAATGAGGGAGGGGGCGAAGAAAGCCCTCAGCCTTGGGAGAAGCGATGGTAGGTATGATATGCGGGGACAGGAGATCTGAATGAGTTAGCTCTGGGTTCATCAGATGTCAAAAGAGGACGTACTAGGTATGGATCTGTTTGGTCAAATGTACGGCTCTCTGATGGAGCCAAAGTGATATGTAAGGGTAGCTTTCCGGCCCAGACGGCTTTCTGGATGCTGCCCAGAGTAGCTTTCGAATCCATTTTAAGGGGAAATGCGCTGCATTACAGGCTGAAATATCGCCTCAGCATAAGTTGTTAGACATAGCAGCGTGATATGATACTGACAAGAAGGGATATGGCTCGATGGTTGCCGTAGAGCGATCGTCGCTACGGGTCGCTGGTTGATTGCCCCGCAGGCTTAAATCAAGATTCACCCACGGCGAGTCATGAATACAGCCAATACTTTTGTATGATGTGAGAATCTTTAGGCTGTCAAAATGGCGAGATGTGGACCTGATGAATAAGTTAAAGGGAAAGATGATCATGGGGTCGTTCATTCATCCTCTGCGATGGGCTTCCCAATCGGTCCAATCCACACGTGACTTTATTTCTCAGGCAGAAAGATATTGCAGCCTGATCACGCGTCGCGTTTCTTTCATCAACTTTCACTCTCTCCAACTCCCCAAGACAGCCTTCTAGGCTGGTCACGTCTTTTTGTTCAACTACGCGGCCTTACTATGTATGGCCTCTGATAACTTCTCTACAATTACCAAGCTATTGCTCAATATAGTTAATGACCATTGACTGAACCCGGAGGAATGTGTTCCCGATCAGTTTCAAGTCGGATTGCTCCAGGGATGGCGCCGTCAAACCATTGAGGTGACAGAGTGAGACACCGAGCTCTCATACGTGTCCCACCATGGAGACTGCGTTTGTGGTAAAACTCCAGAAAATTCTATCAACAACATGAAGTTATAGTCGTGAAGAACTTTGCGGAAGTGAAGGCAGGAAAGCCCTCGACACTGCGGAATTGGCCAATACGACAGCTTGGTGCCGATTAGTTGTACTTTTGATGTCCTCGTCGGTACACCAGTCATGTGTGGGCAGGCCGTCGTGCAAGTGGCATCTAGCTGCCACAAACCGCCATAACCCGGACGGTTCAGGTAGTTCAAAACATGTTATTGCTGCCAATAACGGGAGTATAAGCATCTGTGACATTAGCATGATCCTACCAGGAATGCCAGAACGGTTGGTACATGCTTAATTGAGGAGCTTCATGCTGCGTGTAGTGAGACTGTCATCGACTTGATCTACGAAGAGAAGTAATCACCCAGATTAATCACAGAATACCTTTGCAGATTAGATCTCTATGCGCCGATCACTTGATTCTTCGAGCAGGTATACCTCACTATGGGTTTGGGCCTCGCTTGGCGACTCTGAGACGGCCATCTCCATCAGGTCAAGGCCTTGACGGTGCCTGTGCCTGCAAGGCAGTAGATCGATATCCCCTTCAACAGTGTGCCCAATTTACCTGTGATTCTAAATTGGAAATACCATGCTACGTTCAAGCACTAACCTCATGATTTATGTAAGCGGACTCGAAAATGCCGACCTAAATGGAGCCAATCACGCAAAGGGTCCACTTAGAAGGCATCAGGATAACCTCAGACACAGGGTACATGACGATATAATCATTCGGAACTTGGCTAAATCCTGGTCAACACTATCGAGGTAAACCCCAAACGAATGATCTTGCCATTCATGTGATCTATGCACGTTCAGGAGTAGAAGAAGATCTAGACTGCTGAGCCATTTCCCCTGATGCCTGCAATTACTGATTGACCTGCCTGCTTGCGTGCAATCGGACCTACCACTTTGACTCCCATGAGTACTGATCATGGCCTGGTGCAGAATAGATTATTCGCTATATAGGGCAGATGGAAGGATCTAAAGCCAAACTGTTACCCCTGACTCACAATTCACCCCTTCTGGTATTTACCCCGACGAGATGTCTCCACCTGTCCAAGCGGAATGGTGATTAAACAATATCCAAGGACCCCTTGGAGCTTTAATCTGTTAAGCTATTGCCCTATAAAGCTAGCAGTGGCCCGTTCACACATCACTGCCGAATGCGTTTGCAACCTCCACCCTGAAACACTGATGCTCATCTACAACACACGTCAATCTCCGTGACTCCACTAGTCGCGGCACCACGTTTCAAGTTTGATCCACTAACAGCTATCGATGGTCCAACGGTACAGTCAACCATGATGCAGTTGACTATAAATCCTCAGCATCTCCCTACATCTCTTCCTGTCATATCAGCCCAGAGCCGGTATCTGTATAGCTAGTCTTACTATCACCCGAGCAGTGCTCAGTTCATTCTTTTACATACATTTCTTTTGTCTCACCACCATTAATATGAAGTTCACCTCTACTCTGGCTCTGACAGCCCTCCTGGCTGCTCCCGCCCTGGCCGGTCCTCACGGTCACGTCCGTCACCAATTTGAGTCCAACCAAAACTTCCCCGGCGCCGGCAACCAGGACTTCAATGCCCCTGGACAAGGCCAAGGTCAAGGCCAGGCTGCCCCCCAGCCAAGCATTCAGCCCAGCAACAACGGCTATCAAACCCAAGCCGCTCCACAAGCACAATTCACCCCTCAACCCAGCATCGCCAGCCAGGTTGCTCCCGCCGTGACCTCCGCCGTCAGCACCAACCACAAGAGCAGCTCCACCTCGTCGGACAACTACGAAGTCAACGAGAACTGGGCCGGTGCTGTCCAGGAGACCAGCGGCAGCGCTACCTTCTCCTATGTGGCCGCCACCTTCACCCTCCCCAGCGTGACCCCCACCGCGGCTTCTTCCTCCTCGGATGACCAGGCCGTCTCCTTCTGGGTTGGCATTGACGGCGCCACCGGCCAGAACCAGATCTGGCAGGCCGGTGTCGACATCTATGTCCAGGACGGCGAGACCACCTTCCTCGGCTGGTCGGAGTGGTACCCTGCTGACACTGTTGGTCTCGACATGGAGTTCAGCATCGGTGATGTGATTGTTGTCTCGGTCGAGTCGACCTCCAGCAGCGAGGGTACTGCCCTGATTGAGAACTTGACTACCGGCAAGAACGTTACTTCCACTGCTTCGGCCCCGGATAGCTCGTCGACTCTGGTCGGTCAGACTGCTGAGTGGATCGTCGAGGACTTGGCTATCGATGGTGATGGTCTGACCTTCATTAACTTCGGTGAGGCTACTTTCACCGGCTGTGTTGCTAAGGCTGGTGGAAAGACTATTGGTCTTGATGGCTCGTCTTTGATGGCTGTGGAGGATAGCACTAGTGACCATGTCCAGGCTGTGCCTAGTGTTGTTAGTGACTCTGAGTTGAAGGTCACTTACCAGAGCTCTTAAGGTGGAAGTGGTGAGACATTGTTCTTCTTCTTCTTCTTCTGATATTGTGTATATACACGTTTTGTATTGGGGATGTTAAGTGTCAACCTGGGGTTGATGAGTGATATAGTTGGCAAGAAGTCGACTATCGATACTAGCCTTTGGTATTGCATATAAGTTACGTGTGTATATTAAATATCAACTACAACCATATCCATACCACATTAAGCCTCATAAGGCGTATATACAACCCTGAACCAACTCCATCCTAAGCAAAACCAAATTTAACCATTCCTCCAGATAACAAAATGGAGCAACTACAACCCTCTATACACCCCACGGCCCCCTCCTCCCACCACCGCTCCTCCCACTCTCATAACTCACCCTCCCCAAATCCCCATCCCTAACGCCATACCCAACCCCATAATACTCCTCCCCAATACTCCCCTCGTCCCCCCACCTCCTCCCATACCCATCCCCTCTACCACCCTGACCAGCTATATACACCCCCCTCGGCGCCGCAATCCCCACCCTATCCCCATCCCCATCCGCAATACTACTCCCCCCTCCCCCCAACTCCCACTACTCCTCCCCGAAACCGACACCGACCTGGACCTCTCCCCATCACCCGAAAAACTTAACGACGGCACCGGCGAAATCACCCCCTCGACCTCCCCCTCCGCGTGGCCCCTCCACGTCGGCGAATACGGCGGAGGCGGCGTCTCCCTCGTCGCGGTGGAGGTGTTTCCGTAGCTGTGGGTTGTGCTAGGGAAGGAAATTTGCGAGGAGGCGTCGTCTGCTGTGGCATTATTGCTTGTAGTCATGCCGTCGGGTGGTGTGGTGGTGTAAGGGTGTTTTTCGTCGAGGGGGTAGGAATTGTTGTTGTAGCTGGATGAGGAGATGGGCGGGTCGCGGAGGTGTAGGGCGAGGGTCTTTTCGTTTAGGGTTTCGGTGTTGGGGTGGGGAGTGTATGCTGGGAGGGTGAGGGTGGGTTCTAGGGGGCTTGGTATTGGATGCTGTTGTGGTGGTGGTAGTGGGTGGATGTGGATGTGGTTGTGGAGTTAGGTGGTGGGGAAGTTGTCGGGCTGGTGCAGGAGCATGGACAGAGGGCTGCGAGGAGGGTTGATAGCATTGTTTCTGGTCTTGGGTTTGGCCTTTGTATAGGTTTGGAGGAGGTGTTCGTGTTGTGGTTGTTGTTGGAGTGAGGTGGCTAGTCTGCTGTAGATGTTCGCAAACTATTTATTGTAGTCTCCGGTATTGACGGGTGTCTGATGGTTGGAGGGGCAAAGTGGACAAAGGTTGATTGAGACACCAGAGCACGTCAATGCGATGCAGAGACTACGTGTCTCTGTGCAAATGACCAAGAGGTGATGTCTACGAGTGTGAACGAGGGAAGAAAGTCAAAAGTCACGACGAGGCTGCGCCTCAGCATCCAGGCATCTACGTTCCCCGCATCGCTGATTGGTGGAGTTCCCCGCTCCTGGTTTTCACTTTATCGATAAGCGGATAAGATAGCAATAATTAATCGTAGTTTATTCTCAGCCTGGTATGCAAGCATTCTCGTAGTCTTCTATACACTCAGTTGGAAACTTCATAAACTCATCCCATCCCTCACCCAAGTACCATGTTATCGCCGTGATCTCTGACCTCGCTCGCGTCTCCACCCAATACATGTCCGTCCCATACATCAAACCCAACCACCAACTCAGTAGTATCAGTGCAGGTGGATCCTTTTCCATCAATCTGGCAAAGAACTGCGGTAGCAGCCTCCCCATCCATCCTGTGTAGGATGCAAAACTCCGGACTCCTCGCTCCAGCGACAGAAGTCCTGTCAGTATCCGCGCAGGTGCATGATACGGGTTCGTCTTTGCGGTGGTCGTGTCATCAATCCCACACAGATCAGCTAGCCCCGGATGAATAGCCACCCGGCCAGGACGCTCATCCTCAAAGAGATCTACCGTCTCATTTTGAGATTTCAAGAATACCTCCCACCACATACTGCCAGCTTTCCACTGCGCCGTAGCCATTATCAGATGGCGCAAGCCCCCTTGCAGTGTCAGCCAACTCAATGAGGCAATATCGTCTGAGAAGACAAACGAGCTGAGGGGGTCGTATTCGTCTAAAGAAAAGGAACGAATAGTCAACAGCAAACATGCAGAGATAAGAGAATCCGTGTTCTTCGGGCCGATGGTGGTAACTTCCCGAGAGTACTGAGTAATGGCCTGCTGCCAGTGGTAAGTTTCCGTGAAGGTATAGACACGACCATCCGAAGCCAGATGACGGATATGCGAAGTGGCTGCTGCGATGATAGTGTGCAGTAGAAAGGGTGACTATGCTGTCAGTAACAGTGCTCCTTAGTAAGATGAACTCTGGCATACATTAAACCCTAGCTGAATGATCTTCGCTTGCATAGCGGATTGAGCGCCTTTCGGCCCGAGCGCCGGGTTTGTTAGGCCATGGTGGAAGTGCTGCAATGCCTGCACGACGGGCAATGGGCCGCTTTTTGAATCCAACTGCAGTATCTCGTTGATCTTCTTGGTCACGGTGTCCACTGACATACAGTACGCTTTCGAATCGGGCGGGCTCGCAAGGAAGAGGCTGACGCTGTCTTTGTTTTTGGCCTCGGGCTCATAGCTGCAGTCGAACCCAAGTTTCTGGCATCGGTGGCAGGATGGTTTTCCCTCGTCGCACTGTCGTTAAGAATAGTACGATTAGAGAGGGTGCTAACCAGAAAAGTAAGGTGAATACCTTGACCCGTCGCTGCTTGCAAACGAGGCAGCCAGCGCGGGATTTGCGATGCGGGCGTCGGGGATGATAAGTACGGGGTGAAGGACGAAGCTGGAGGACAGACTGCATGGCAGCCACCAAAATTGCTAGACCTTGCTACGTTCCATGAAGGTACATAGCTTGCATTTATGCAATGAGGATAAGTGAAGAGTACAAGACAGTAAGACAAATAGACTCATGACACATGACGATGAGAGCAGCCAGCCTCGCGGGAGTGCCTGACCAGACTAGTCCTAATACGGAAGCCAGCTATATTCCACCAGCATAGCATACCAGCATAACATGCAATTCCAACAACATCATAATTCATATACCTCTCACTATATACCTAACCGATCTGCGCATTCGAGAAATCCATCTCTGCAAATGCACACACCACATTAGCACAACACGCACCCGAGGGGGAAGAAAAGAGAGTAATACTAACCAGGATGTTCCTCCTGAAACTTCTTCAAAATATCCCTCTTCTTCTGCTCATCACTCGTCAACCCACCCATCTCCTTCTGCCTCTGATCATACATCATCTTCTCGACCATCGCCCTCGTCTCGCCATCCAAGTCACTCAACGACGAATTTTCTGGCGTAATCTTCGTAACGTCGATCTTCGGCGCACTCGTCACAACATGCGCCCACCACTCCACCTTGTTCACCTTGTCCAGGTGGATCGAGATCTCCTTGCCGGGCGGTTTGGATGTCGATTCGAGGGTCCAGGAGCATTCGTCGGGGATGACGGGGTGGGGGAACTCGCCCTACAAATTTCATTAACAGGTTAGTATTGTAACGAGAGTCGTAGAGTAATCTTGGAACTGGAGAGGATGGGTGTACGTCAATAAAAGCCTCCTGTCCCTTAATCGCAACGCGGATTTTCGTCTTCGTGAGAACAACATCCAAATCCCGACCGCGGATGTTCGATGCTACGGGGATCGTCACCTCCACGTCGCGGATCGTTTGGGTCCATTTGTAGGGCAGTTGGGCTTGTTCGGCGGCTTCGCGGGCTTTGCGGGCGGATTCTTCCTCGTCGCGGCGGGCGAGCTCGGCGGGGGTGGGGGGTTGTTCGTCGGCCATTTTGCTGTTGTAGTCGTAGTTGTGTTAGTGGTGAAGGGGCTATATCAGGGGGAAGTTGGAGTCATACTTGGTTGTGGAAAGATTTGTAAAGAAGGTTGTTTGGAGAATTGGAGGGAATTACAGATGGTGGGGACTGGCTGGATGGCTGGAAGCTTCCGCGTGCGGGGCAACATTCTACTGCGTTTACTTGTGTAGACATCATAGCAACTACTAGTAGACTGAAGCAAACACAAGGAATATAGATAATGGTAGGATATGGTGGATATCGTATGTCATTATTTTATTACATACAGTTCCTCCAGCAATGACCCACATATTCTCTTCTGTCCTCCTGGGACAACAGGACCCCTCAGCGCCCTGCGCATCAGGGCAACCCGAACAGTATCATTTGCTATGCACGCTGCTGTATCTGCAGACCCAGATAAAGAGTAACTCCGAAAATAATCATCAGTCCGCCCATCCTCGACGCCCGTAGATCCCTGCCAGCCATATTTTATCTTCATTCCGTACTGTCCGTCAATATCTCTTCGCCTAGATCCTCGGCTACGGGTCCAGGATCCGTCGAGGCTTCTTCAATATGCTGCACCTCGCCGTGTTCCTCCCGCTCGATAACGTCGAAGAACTCGCCGGCATACTCGGCCATCTTGTTTGCCATTTTATTCGCCAGCTTGTCCTGCACGATCCCCTCCAGCAATCGCATGTCCTCTTTCCATTTGCGCTCCCGACGGGCCTTTTCTTCTGCCGGCCGGCGGCAGGTCCCGTCTCGTTCCCGCACCTTCAGGCAGTTCGGGCACAGGTAGTTGGCTTCGCAATAGGAGCAGTTGCACGGCGGGAAGGCGATGGTGCAGTCCTCGCATACGTACACCGAGCAGCTGGTGCACTCGCGGAGAACGCTGGCGCACCGCTGTCGCTGGTCACCGACCGCTCGATACTGCGGACAGAAAAAGGACTGACATCCTTGCCATCTGGGCTGGTCGGACGGCGAGTCGCAGTAGACCGAGGATGGCGAGGATGAGCGTGAACGGTTGGAATTGGAGATGGAGAGACTCCGCGAGCGGCGGTGAACTAGAGGCGTGGGTCGCGGATGGTCGAACGCGCTACTGCTCGCCTCGGGAAAGACCTCTTGGTTGTCCTCGGTGAAACTGCTCGTAGTCGAATCGAGGATTCGCTGCGTCCGATACGGCAGCTCGAACTCTGGCACGGAATTCGTGTAGGGCATCCGCGATGACACAAACCCGCGAGAGCCGGTCTCGGCGTGGTTCTGGATTGCCAGCTTCTCCAGCGTGAGATCCCGGTACCCGCAGATCCTCAAGCGGAGTCCCCGCAAATCATGCTCAATACACAGCGGCTTCGAGCAGCTCTTGCAGTGGACCTTCCACTGAGGCGTGTCGTAGCAGTCCTGGCATAGGTTGCGCGGACAAGCTGCAGGCTGTCGGTCGGGCGGCCCAAGTAGCCATCGCATCATGGCGATGTGTCCGGTCTCCAGCGTATAGTCGGGCTTGCGAGGGTCTCCGTAGGCGTCCCGCGGGAACGTCTTGCTCCATTCTTGCGCCGAGTACTCCAGGTCCTCCCATCCCTGTCCTCGCGGCAGAGGCACGGCTCGTACCTGGTCCACATCGCGGTTCGGTGTGCCGATACTGATGCCGCCGCCGCCAGAGAAGATAGGCTCAGTGCAGCACCAATGAAACGTAAGGGCGGGATAGGAGGGAGTCGCGTTGTTGGCTACAGTGGTGTTTTCGGAATCTTCGACAGGGTCTTGCATAGAACATGGCGACATCGTAGCCCCAGGAGCCCACCAGAATGGACTGTCCTTAGATGCCGATCGAGGCCGGCAGTGCAGATAAGGCCGTTCGTAAGCGCAGCTAGCACACAGAGTCTTTCGACATCCGACACAGTGCATCAATATACTGCATTGCTCGCATCGTTCAGGGATCAACTCGCAGCAGTTGTCGCAGCGGATATTCTCAACGAACTGTGTATGGCTCCGTCGCAAATGTGCCGGCAGCATCTTGCCCTCTCCATGGTCTTCACTCTCTCCGGTCCCCAAAGCCTCGCCGTAGTAGCCGGTCTCACCGTGTTCCCACAGCTTCGCGTCCCGTTGGGTTGGACGGTTCGCCTGGTCTACCGGGCCGATCCAGTTCTTCGACCTCCACAGCCGATCAAACACCACCCACACTTCCGCCGACCCCTGTGGAACACGCATAGACACGTAGCCCCGCCTCCGGAAACATCTCCCCGCAGGAGTCGAGCACCACGCGGTATCCGTCCAGATGCCCAATTTGTGGCATAGGTTGACCAGTTCATGTGTGGGTTCGGAGTCGGAGTCTTTTCGCGACAAGGAGGAAGTCAGATACGGCCGTCGTCGATGATGTCGACATCGATATGTGTAGAGACTCTTCAGTGCAAGATGCTTGGTATCCGGTGAACTTCCGATATTTTGCTCCATGTTGACATCATATTGGAGGCCAAACATCGTGAGGTACGGGATGATGTGGTATTTGAGCGACACGTTCTTGCAGCCTCGTACGGAGAGATGTTCCAAGGTTTCGCGCCGCGAATGTAGTACCGTCGACATGAGGATTTGCCCCGACACAGCTGTGTTATCCAACTCCAGACTGCGCAAGCACGGACTAAACGGAATCACCACGTTCATCAACAGCTGGTCGAGGGCATACGGCCGCGACTGGCGCGGGATGACGGTCTCGGAGGAGCCGGTGAAGACAACCCGGAGGGGCGGCGGGGTGCCAGAGGGGTAGAGGAGCCGAAAAGAGAGGTATTTCCATGCTGTCGGGTAAGAGCGGAGGAATGAACGGAGGTAGCGGGACGTATGATAGAGGGCTAGGATGGCCTCGGTGGGAGTCTGCAAGAGGAGAGATTCGAGGATGGGGGCATTGGTGGTGACGACGAGTTCAAAGGTGGATAGCGGATGTTGGGCCGGAAGGACGGAGTGTTCGAGCGCGGAATCCACCAGGTGTTGCTGCTGTTGGTCTCCGCTGGGCTTGCCGGCCATGGCTGTAGTGGTAGTAATAATAGTAGTAGTCGACTCAGGGCCCGATCGATGATCGATAGCGGGCACTCCTGGATTATGAGATACGGATGGCATGACGATCCGAATCGGATGGCGGGGCCCTTTACTTCTTCAACAACCTTTTTCTTTTGATTTCACTCCCCTGAAAGGAAGCTGGAGGTTAGAGTGACGCGAGATCGCGAGCACAGCGGAGAATGCGGGAGAGGGCCGCACATCATAAGGGAAACAGGAAGGAGAGCATGCGCAAGGAGGGCGGACTACACCCAAATGTTGGACATGAGCAGAGGCCATCCACGGGAAGGAGAGGAATAGAATAGAATGGAGGGAGGGAGAGAGAGAGGGTCGGGGAGGGAAGAGGAGGGAGAACAAGTTACAGCAAACCGATTGGGGGTGGCTTGGACAACTCAGCTCAGAATTGGCGATGGGCAACAAAAATCCAACGGGCGGCCGGCAATCATGTGATAGGTCGCCTTGGCCCCGTTGGGATGCCACTCTTTTTGGTTATTGTTGCTTTGCTTGCTGATGGATGATGATGATGATGATGTTGATGATGAGTTTAGACTTATTCCTATGACGATATACGTTGGGTCACCGGGGTCTGTGGCCTGACGGGTCTCAACTTCACTAGTGATTCGTCCCCAGTGTATTTTATTGAATATTGAATTCATCCCTCTGGATTTCTTTCCACTATCTGCTGCTAGTTGCGTGGTGTTGTTCTCTGCCCCCGACGATCCAATCCACCACCACAATCACAACCACTAACCTCGCCATCCGCTTTGGGCCGTGCCAGCAGCATCAGTAGGGCACAAAAAACAGATCCATCAATCCATCAATGCAAAGAAAATAGCAAGCCACTAGTTCCACCTGACTATGCTTTGCCTTGCCCTCCCCCCTACTCGTTCCCATACTTTCTACCCTTTTTCAACGGTCGCGCCCAACAATCCGGTTCTCCGAACGCCAGGGGAGCGAGGGTGGCCTGAACTAGTGTCGCTCTATTGTTTCTCCCACCGTATATCCCCTTGCAATACCCTTGCGCCCTTCCACCACCAGC